CTTCGACATCCTTGAGCCTCTCCGAGAGTTGGTCTCGAGATTCACTACTTTTAACCGACTTAGATCTTGATAAGCCAGAGGGCGCTCTTTGAAGTTTAAAGGATGAAGGTGGGCCAGTCAAAGAGTTGGATCGAGACAACCTAGAGCTAGCGGGTCCGGCTTCTTCTGAGATGGTGCCCATCGAATTAGACTGCATCTGTTTTAGCGATGTATTTTCAACTTTGAGTGTTTGAAGTTCTTGCTGCATCTTTGTCGATTCATAAGTCATCTTCTCTAGTTCCGCTGCTTGTGCTTCAAGACCCTCCACACGAGCTCGTAGTTGTGGTACAACCTCGTCCCGAAGGTTGTCGCGTTCATTAGAAGCATTTTGAAGCTCACCCTTGAGGGCTGTGAGCAAGTCCTCGAAGTTATCCTTGACCTGGCGCTCCTCAGTAAGCTTTCGTCGCAGGGTCTCGCAGGTGCTTTCCAATTCCTTGACGCGTCCACTGGTATCGATACTATTAACTCTCGCAAGATCAATTTGGGAAGCCCTTTCCGAAAGCTCCCTGATCTGCTCATCAAGCTCTTGTCTTCTGGACCTCTCTTCTTGGAGTTTATTGGTCAACTCGAGCCTAATCTGGGCCTTCTCCTGCTCTGACCTCCTCTGTATCTTCTCGATTTCTTCCCTTGATTGATCATATTCGCTTAACTTAGCTGAGCTATATCCTGAATCCGAGAAGTAATCACTGGTTCTCTTGTTTCCATTGGTCGTGGGGTTGTCCCTCTCTGCTTGTAGTCTATCAACTAAATCCTCCAGGTCCATCTCGCGACGAATTGACGCTGCCAATTCGGCCGAGATGGCCTTTAGCTCGTCTTCCATTTCTTCGATTTGGTGAGATAGTGGTAGCGTAGCGGTTGGTGGTGTTGCCAGGTAGGATTCACAATAGTCCCTAGAATTTGGAGATCCGAATAGCGCCTTGGGGGCATCAAGTAGTGATTGTGGTCCAATTGTTGTGACCGGGGATGCATCGGTAACACTAGCTGTCTTTGAGAAGTTGAAGGGGGATGGAAGAGGCGAAAAGCCTTTGTCCGAGACCTCAGTATTCGAAGGCGAAGAGGTCCAACCAAAGAAAGTTCCTAGTTTTGAGGAGCCAGGCGACTTCGGCAATGGCTTATCAGTATTAGGCGTTTTAACCTCGTAGCTGTCAGCTGTTGGGGTTGTATCATCTGGCTTGAGATTCAACTGTGGGGGTGTGGCCTTCCGGGTAACATGCAACGACATAGTATTAGAAGGATTAGAATTACTATTATCAGACGAATCTGAATTATATCCGTCGAAAATATGCTCACTCAGCGGATCCTCCTCCTCGTCACTAAAAAGGTCGTCATACGTGGTTTGTCCTTGGTGTTGCGACAGGTCGGTGTTGTGACGTGTTTGAGGAGCAGCAGGGTTGTCAGCCCGAGAATCTGGACGTTTGACTTCACCCGCTATGACAGCCGGGATGGAGTCGGCAGAAGCCAGCGGATGACGACCCACGGGAGTTCTTCTGGTTAATATCAAGAATTGATTAGCAATACTGAATTTAGATGATTCGCGTTGGATTGTAGATTAATGAGACCCTGACTCACTCCGCGTTGCCCTGAATCAAGATGATGTCGTTAGGCGACTCCAAACCGCGCCCAATCGGAGGGCGAGGGAACTCGTACACGGTAGGGCTATCTACCGAGAAGGAGCGTGAAAACCGTTGATCTGGTCTAGGCAAGCCTTTCGTGATAGCCAGGTACTCTCCAGAGGAATACCTAGTGGCGATTGGGGATGCGGTTGACGACAATGGTTTCCTCCGAATAGACCGGGTTGGCGGCAAGATAGCAGAGCTGTCAATGACTAGATTTCTTGTGTTTCTTGATACCGGTTGGGCAGCGGCTGATTCTAGGGGTTGCGATTGGTCTGAAAGGGAAGGAAACTGTTGCTGAAGGAAAGATAGATCAGATGAGGCATGAGAAGTCTCAGAGTTGGCCGTGAGGGAGGCCCGGTGCGCGTGATCTTGGTACGGCAAGGACTGAGGGACGGACATGGTGGTCGATCTACTCCCTTGTCTAATCATTCATGACTAGCCGGAATGTGTGGAGAGTTACAGGTCAGGGCCAAGAGATTATTGACTCGGTATACCAGGAGAGATGGTAATGTTTCACTGCCAGTTAAGAAAGGAAACTTGAACAAGCCAACAATAGTCTGGCGACCAGGAAAGTGAGAGAGCGCAACAATAGAGAAAGGACGAAAGCACCAGAAATTCGTCTAAGCTGGGGGGTGGAATGATCGAAAGGGGCATGGCGGCATGGACTACCATTTAGTTAGCGTCGCAATCGGTCTTTTACCCATTATTAGACCATGAAAAGGATCAAGGGTATAATGAGCATTGGCAGCTTTGTGGCTCCTGCTTTGTCCTGCAGGCGCTTGAAAGTTGACAGGCATTGCTTTAGCGCGTATGCTTCCCCAGTTGTGCCTGGTTGTGCCCCTGGAATTGTTCTCTTTTGGTTCACTTGGCTTTCTTTAGACGATTCTATTGGTCCGTCATTATCTTGGACCCCTGTCGAGCCTGTCAACCAACAGATTAGCATTCCGCGCTGTCGACCCTGTTATATCCATTTTCGTCCGTCTGCAATTTTATTTCCCCTTTACTACCTACCTACGTATTCCCTGAATTCGAAAGATATATCCCTCTGAGCAAGGCTGGCAGTGGCAGTGAACCCTGAAAGATGTAGGGGCGAAGAAGGTTACCCAATATAGGTGTATGTATTCTGCAAGCGCATTCGTGGGGGCATTTGGCTTCAGAGGGAGGGTGAATTATTTTAGTCGCTCACTTTCACCAAGGGTCTGGATCCTGCTTCGCATTCTCCTGCATACTGCAGGTACCACCTGCAGGAAACGGCATTTCGGTAAATGATCAGCCACACCCTCTAGTGGGTGTTTGGTTCGCTTAGAGGTGCGTGTGCTGTAGGTAATCTCGACTTCCCGATGCCGACTTTCCCTTTTCGAGACCGTAGAATAAAGAAAGATCGATCTTAATACTGCAATATGATTGCATCTTCACTAGCGCCTCAAGCGGCTAATGGGGAAATCTTAGAGCCAATCCCTAATTACCTATCATTGAACATTTCATTTCGCAGTTGTGTCGTTGTTCAAAGACAGTAGGTATACCGCGCGGTAAAGTTGCAGTGTTGAAAAGTCGGCATCCAATGGCTGCATCGAACGTTTGTAAATGTGAAAGTGAAGCCGCACAAGGCCAGTTGCCTAGGTCGCGTAGAGGCTCTGCGTACGGTGTGAATACACTACTTGAAAGACCCTGGAGTAACCGGGTCTTGTCACGAAACCTTGACCCTGGCCAGAAACCAGAGGTCGACAGATGCTTTGAATTGTTTTATTAACTTGAGCCTCAAATGATAAACAACCCGCCGTACATAGTACTACATCGAGCACGTTGGACGTATGACTGTATGACTGTTGCTAGCGGGATCCCAAAAAGGGTCAATACTTTAAATCAACTCCGATGTCTTAAGCTTTGCGTACCGATGTGGCGCCTAACGCTTATAAAATCTCAATACGTACCTAGTTTAATGGCGTTTTACTACGCACTAAAATCCATCAGTAGATGAGCAACAGTAGATCAGGGGCTTCACCCACAAAAACAATTGACTATCAGCACTGGCTAATCCTTGTTGCACATCAGTGGAACTGCCCTCTAAGGGTAGGTCGCCGAGACTACCTAGATTCACGACCACTCACCTCCCTAATATCGTCAAGGTTTCCTGCTATGCAATAAGAGGTTATACCCAAATAGATGTTGTTTAATCAATGGAATGATTCTAATGATAAATCGAGGGATTCCCGCGAAGAATGAGAACTCTATAAAGGGACGGCGAATGAATGACAAAACTATAATGGCATTAAGTACCCCATTACATGTGTCCTAAACTCCGGCTGGGCATGTATTAAAAAAAAATAGACTAGCGTCAGGTACGACATGACGCAGTACGCACCCGAGGTTTGGGGGTTGACTGGATTCTTATTGGCCAATTTGGGAGCACACGAGGAAAGTGACACTGGCTCCTAAGTGGTCGGGTTTCGGAACCTGATTGAACTTGGCAATATAACGATATAACTTCCGCTTAGCAACCAAGCCTCGTATAAAAATAAATATGTTGTGACCAATAATAGCCGTCGATAAGAAGCAGGTGAGAACATCTGACAATATAACGACAGTAGTTCCCTATAGTCAATAATATACTCCCGATGTCTCGACAAAGTTGCTTTCCAGTCCGCGAATCCGTAAATGCGACAGTTAATACATGGAGTGCGCCGTGGTAGGGAAACGAAACGTGAGTTCTTGAATGTTCTGAAGGGAACCTAGATGTCGAGCTCTTTCCTGGCGGATCATCTTATCAAGAGACTTAAGATGTAAGGTGTGCTATTTAGACTATCTTCTCCAAGCTTTCTACGAGAGGCATTGAGATCGATGTTAAACTTGTTTACGTCCCGGGTTTCTTATCTGTAAGGCCAAGTTGTTAGCTTGTCTTATGCATGCTTGTCCTATGCATATTCAATAGCCAACAAGTCGGAGACAGTTGGTAGGCGATATGGAGAATATGAGAGTGCGAAATAGTACAAAATGATTCACTTGGAACGATACAGGATGGGCACCAAATCAGCATATAAGCTCTTGGGGGCAACGCCATCACTAGGTGCCTCAACACAAACTCTACCTGCCGGAAACAACTGCAACATATAATGTTAAACTGGAGGTAAGTCACATGCAGATAACTTCATTTTCTTGTTGTAATGAGCGGCTCTATGTGGTCCATACATGCGAGGTACCTGTGATAGCAACAAATAGATACCCACTTTTTACCACATCCTGCCAGTAGGAAAAAAAAGAAAACAGGAGTGACCGGCACAACTTCGGGCTCCCGTACCTGCCTTCCGCACTACCTAATAATGCGCCGGTACTGACCAACCGTCATCAGCCCGGTTAGCTCAATCGGTAGAGTAAGTTGACCACCTTCATAAGATCTGATGGATCATTCAACTAACAGTCACATAGGCGTGAGACTCTTAATCTCAAGGTTGCGGGTTCGACCCCCGCATCGGGCTCAATTCCTGATGCGTTCCTATCATAGGAACACTTCGAACCAAAAAAATTTTTCTTCCTTTTTCCATCTTTTTGTCTTGTGCTTTTTGTGGCCTCTTAGGGCATGAATAAATCAGCTATAGCTAACTTCCTATCTTCTTGCAAGAAAATAAGATATAACTCTCGAGCAAGACCATGGTGAGTATCATCCCAATACCTAGATACCTACAGACAGTCATCGGGTGGGGTCGGAATCACAGTCAGCCCACTGTTGCACGAGCGCAACGCCCGAATTTCCTTTTTCGCGGAAGGCTGCCTATGTCGTGCTTCATAAGAGTCTCACCGGTTTCATTGTTTCATGCCGACGGTCCCAGAAGAAGCCCCATAGAGCCTACATGATATGATGACGGCTAGTGGCAGTTGCTATTAATGAGAAGCAGCGTGTTTGGAAAGCTTACAGATATGAATGACATGGTATTATCCAGCGTCGTAATTCGTACAAGCATGGTACTCCAGCCTAGATTTATTCGGAATTCTTATAGTACATGTTAAGGCTTGGCTAGTTGATCACGTTGATTCATTCACCTAGACGTCCATTTCCCCAACATAGCTCAAACGAAGCAGAATATGACAAGAAAAACACCAGGTCTTATTAAGAGAACTAAGCCTTCTTCGTGAACGCTTGCCTGGTATTTGTTGTTAGGCTGATGACCCCATTAGCTGAGACATGAAAAGGGGCTCCTGGTCGACATATCGGTGTGCCTTGAATCAGGGACGCGTCTAGTCTTGAGAGCCCATTGCATTCGCTGTGGCGTACAAGCAGCCATATAGGATCGAGTCTGTGTGTCAGCCGAAAATGTGTATGTAGAATACTTTTTATACCAATTACTCATTAGATATGCATTAATTAACAGCGTACCACGCTCTCCTACTTTTAATATCTGTGCCCAAACGCCGATGCTGTGCAACTGTCAGGAATATCTCAAAACACGCTGTTCTTGCTCCATTTATTGGCAGCTCTAATCCTCCTACCAAAGAAGTAAAACACATATGGCACGGGTATCAGCAAGCAAGCAAAACCAGCAAAAATGCTTGATCCGGGACCAACTCCGATGTTGTGGTACATAGGCGTAACGACGAGGGGGAACGCCGCAGCGAAACAGCTCCGCAGGAAGGTATTAGCGGCGACGGCGCTTGCTGCGTACATCTGAAAGGTGTCGACGAGATAATTAAGCGCTGCCTGGAAGATTGTGTTGAAGCCACATCCGGTAAGGTAGAGACCGATGACCGGCACGATCCAATGCACATCTGGGTTTGCTGTCCAGCCGGTGATAAACTGACCCGTAGCGAACAGCAGGGATCCCAGCATCATTGGCGGAAGCCTTTTCTCGGGGACCGGTCGGTCTCCCATTGCGTGATATGCCTTATTGTAATAGAGCTGGTTTGACATATTGATGCCGGCGCCAGTGATCGACCCAAGGAGGATCGCTAGAAAGGGCAGTTCGCTCGCCACCGTCCCCCAACCCCTGATTTCTGCGAAAATAATTGGGACAGCTCCGAGCTGCATATACAGAATTCCGTAGCAGAAACTTGCGTAAAGCGCGACCAGGAAGCATATGGGCGTGCAGAGTAACTGCATGGGACGGACAAGGAACTTTCTAGCTAACTCCATGACACTGACATCCCACTCCTCAAACTTCGCATGCAAGGCCCAATTGCCTGTCTCAAATCGTAGTCGGCGCGCCTTAATGACAAGAAGGCTTGGCGGATACGTCTCGTCGATAAAGATGACGGCCAAGGTTAGGATAACGGACTGTATTATCCCTGTCGTATACTCGGTCCAACGCCAACCAAGATCCGGTCGCGCCACACATGCGGCAGAGACGATGGGGCCTACCGTTGGCCCACCCACAACCGCCATCGCATACCCTGCCATCGCGATGCCACGATACGCTGGTGTGAAGAGGTCACCTAAGACGCCGCCAGTGTTCGTCACAGGCGCTGAGGCGAAGATTGCGCCCCAAAACCGTGTCAGCATGAGGGTTTGGAAGTCCTTGGCCGTCGCAGACCCAAATGAGAAGCATATGGATACGAACATCGGTGTCAAGACCGCGACGCGTCGGCCATAGACTTCTGATAGCGGCGCCCAAAGCAGCGGGCCTATGCCAAACCCGAGAAGGAAGAGAGTCGTGCCTAGCGTCGCTACTTGCGTGCCCACGCCGAACTCTTCCGCAATTTGCGTCGTACCGGCGGAATAAGACGACGACGCCCAGGTAGCGCTCATAGTGACCAGACCATATAGAAGCGTTGTGAGCACTTTCTTATGCCGCGGCCAATTCACAGGCCGATAGGGATCGTCAGGCCCATCGAAGTCAACGAGACAATCTTGGCCAGTCTTCACCTTTGCAAGAGGATGGCTGAACGGAGGTACTGTAGGTCTAGAGCGGACCCGCGATAGCACGGTGTCCCGTCGCGAGATTGTCCTTGAGAGAGACCTTGAGCGCCCGTTCGGGATATCCCGGCCGCTTGCGCGGGTCTGGGACGGACGTTGATCAAGAGTGCATGGCCGGTGTCCATCATGATATTTTTCCGGCGGAGGGCATTCGCAATTAGACGATTCCGAGTCGGGCGCGGTTGCGGGGGAATCTGCATCTGGAGCTCGTCCCCTAAAAGACCCGCTGTGCGAGCGTTCGGAACCGTCCTTATCTTCAGCTATTGCCATTGTTACCTAGGTACACTCTAAAAAAATGCCCAGAAACCAAAACATGTAAAGTAAAGGCTATATCAAAGCTGAAGACCAATAGTGGCGTCACGCCAACACCAAATATAGGTTACATCATTGCCGTTAATATGGGACCGAAAGCCGAAGGATTAATAGAGCGAAGTCCCGAATCCAATGACGTAGTGCTTTCAAGAATGTTCAAGACTTCAATTCAAGGGGTTTAGCACGGGAATAACTGTTCTATTAGAAAGGCCGAATCCAATACAGCCTAGCTGCTAAACGACTAAATGCAATTACATAATATTAATAACAATTCGAACAGTATTACTTGCGAGGGCATTCAGAAACCCCCGATTAAGCGATAAGATCTAAGAAACCCTTACTCCCAGGCCAAGACCGATCCCAAAGGTACCAAGACTCGGAAACTTCAATTTGTGAGCCGCAATATGCCCTTGGCGCAGCCATGGAAATGGTGTACTAAGAAACAGCTACAATTTTTATATTTACTTTCAAATGAGGTGGTCATGAGCACGATGTCGGAGATGTAGTGTTCGACAGTTCTAACTTTTCACCAAATCAATCTACTTATGTCGGTCGAGTGTTCCCCTGAAACGTGGCAATTGGGTATCCTGGGAGCATGTTGACTATTTTGCATCGACTCAGCCGAAATCTCGGCCGCTAATGATATTTAAGGAGAGCACATCCTCTTATTCTCGGATCCTCACCGATAAAGAAGAACCATGACCGATATAAGATTCAAGTATTTAGAGCCGAGAACACAAGTAGCCATTGTTACTATCTTAATTGCAGTTTTATTTGATCTATTACATATATACATTAGGTGATATCTGTGATATCTGTAGGCAGTCTATATCATTATAAACAAGAAGGCAATTGCGAAGTATCTAACTCGCAACGGTGGGTATCTCAGGTATCATTATAACCTAGGGTTGAACTTGCTGCGAATACGTTCTCCGAAAATGAAGAAAATCACCGGTATCGGGATGAGCGCCAGCGAGATAAACCCGAGCAAGCTGTTGCCCCATCCCAGACCCAGAGCGTTGTACATATCAAGGCCGCCCAGCGGAAGCAATGCGCCGAGAAGCGATCGAAGAACGGTTAATGCGGCGGTGACGGATGCCGCGTACTGGGGATACGTGTCGAGGAGGTAGTTCTGGACGCAGAACTATGGAACATGTCAGCTTATCTCATTGGGGTATTAAAAGAGAAGGGAAATGCGATCACTTACCATAACACCCATAAGTCCAGCGCTGAAGATGAGAACGCCGAGCATAGGAACAATCCAGTGAACTCCGAAGTTAGTGGTCCATCCGTAGATGAACAGACCAATGGGAAGGGCGAAACCGCTGGGAATCGTGAGCGTAGGAGCAAGACGAACCTCGGGCTTATGTGTAATCCCCTTTGCTTGGTTCCGCTTGACCATTATGTCGGTGAGCTGCCCGAAACCGACAACACCGATCATCATACCCAGACCCGCAGGCAGGAATGTCAATCCGTTATCACCCTCGCTGAAACCGTATTGTTGTGTATATACGAAGGAGAAAGTCGTGATGAGCAGGTACATAATGCCGTAGGTAATGGCAACGTACAGCGACATGAGGGTGACGATAGGCGTGACCAGAAGGAGCTTCATCGGTCGGATAATGGCGAGCTTGAATTGCTCCTTAGGGGTTAACCGCCCGGAGAGCTTGCTGCGCAAGTTCGGGTTGCCGGTCTCCTTGCGGAGTCTCTTAGTCTTGTGCTCGAGGAGGACAGGGGCGAAAGTTTCTCTAAGAAAGAAGAAAGAAAGAGGGATGAGGGCGCCGCCCTGCGCTTTTGTTAGCTCATTTACGATATAATGGGTGATGCTTGAAATCGAGGTAACATACCAGGATAACGATCAGCCAGTACACCCATCTCCATCCAGCAGCTTCGATTAAGTAACCACCGGCGATGGGACCAATGCAAGGACCGAGGAGAGGACCTAAAGCCCAGGCAGACATGGCTCTACCTCGCTTTTCGACAGGCATTACATCTGCAATACTACCGCTTCCAATGGTTACAGGCACTGATCCCGACAATCCCATAAGTAGCCGGAACGCCATCAGCATTCCGATACTCTTAGAGAGAGCGGCGCCGACAGTGAAGCAGACAAAGAGTATGTTTCCAGAGATGTATAGGGGTCGGCGACCAAGGATTTCACTTAGTGGCGCTATGAGGAGCGGACCGAAAGCAAAGCCTAGGATGTATACCGAGACTAGGAACGTGGCCACGGTAGAGGATCTCTCTTGGAATTCTATC